GTTTCAAGTTGCTAATTGGTCTGGTTGCCGAGATATGGGCCAAAAACTAATTTTTTTTCGAGGTTTTTTGGCTTTTCCGGGAAATACATGAAAGAAATTTTTATGGCCTATGTTCATCCTCGTAACTTGCTTAACATAATTGCTTTTGGAACTAGTCATCGATATTGCTTCGTTGAGGAGGAGATACGATTTAAAGCTGCGGACACACATCCATCCATCCATCCATCCATTCATTCATACATTCATACATCCAGAAATGACGGGTTAATAAACGCAATTCTCCAGAATGGAAATTGCGCTAAAAAACAACTACAAGTAAGCTTTGAGTTTAAAAGTAATTGGTGTGTTATAATGAAAACGTGTTTATTCCTTTACTCGTGGATAAGCCAAGAATATTTTTATTATACTTTTTCATTAAGGTAGTTTATAGTAGAAGTAACATATATATATATATATATATATATATATATATATATATATATATATATATATATATATATATATATATATATATATATATATATATACACTAGACATACTGCCTAGCTTGGCTTTGGCTTAGGTTTTCAAAAAACATTTGAGAATTTGAATGCTTAGTTAATTGGCAATTGGCTGATACGTGGAGTGCTTAATTTTAGAAAGTAAGGCTAATTTTAGAGAAATTATTGTTGTTATATATATATATATATATATATATATATATATATATATATATATATATATATATATATATATATATATATATATATATATATTACCATACAGCATGTAGAGATGATATCTGTAGATAATTTTACATTAAGGTAGAGTCACAGTCTATTCCCAACTATACATGGCTAAGTGTGTGCATTCTGTGTTTTTGCTGTCTCCCACTAGGGGTAGGAGGACTCGTCTATTCCCTACAGGTAAGTCTATGACGCTATAGAAACAGGAAAGTAAGAGATATAGGCCTACTTTGCACATAATCTGTTATCTGGGCATTTGAAGGTTAAGTGTGGTCGTCATTATGCCCAGCCGCTTTTACTTTTTCCCAACGGATGTCGGGTACCTATCAGAGCTGGGTGAACTCAGTGACGTCCTACTGACTAGAGCTCGGGATCCGAACTGAAGACCTTTGGGCTCTCCCATCCAACCACGCCGGCTTCTTGTGGTGCTTTATAACATCTATATATATAATTCTCTTCTGGGAGCCGCTAGAAAACAAGCTGCAAACGCGCCTAGAAAACAAGCTGTAAACGCGCTCCCTACCTCCCCACCCCTACATGGTTTTAGTGAGCTGTGTTCATTCTAAATGTTTACAAGCAGAGCCAACGATTTTAAACGTAGGGGGGGGGGGAGGAAGGGGGGGGGTTATGGTCCTTAACGAGCTACTTATAGTGTTTTAAAGAAATATTTTCAGTGGCAGCATTGGTACTGTCGAATTCACAAATTATGAATTACTGAAAAGTAGAAAAAACAACAACTAAATAGCGGCGTATGTTATGCCGCGGGCCGGCTCGTTTGTAATGTGACGCCAAGGATAATTCCAAGTTGTTGAATTTGTTTTCGTATATCAAATACATATGCAATCTCTAACAGCCAAAATGCGTTGAACAAATTAAATTAAGCTAAACAAAGCAAGGCAAAATTGCTCCAAACACAGGAATAAAACGTGCATATCTAGAGGACTAATTGCCGTCGTACCAACATATAAATCAGAGCAGATAGTAGGCATACATAGAAACATGCGAACGCGAAAATAATTATATTGTCTTCTTGTTTGTTTACTGATTTAGTTACCAGGTTTTTTTTTCTATTTCCTGCCCGTAGGCCAAAACGTTAAAGAAAGAACACAAATACGCGGAGGCCAGAGCAGCTGCCAGAAAAGCCTTTCATTTAAATATAGCTGGTATTGTACTCGGTATAACACTTATCGCTGTGATTGTTTATATTTATATTACAATCAGAAATAGCGGGAGTGATCTCCACTAAACTTCCTCTAATTTCTGTTATAACACTAACGGGGATGGTAGCTCCATGGCAATCAGGATATGGACAAGTTTCAAGTGATTTTTGTGCACAATTACAATACTTCATCTATGCTCTGTATACGAACAAGTAAAGAATATGTATTATGTATTATTTTGTTAGAAGCATTAAGAAGTCGGACTGGTCTGGTCGGTTAAGCTCATTGTTGCAGAACCAATAAGTCCCGAGTACGAACCCCAGGGCAAAAGCAGCTCGATAGTTGGGGACAGTAACTCTTCTGGGAGAGTATGAAGCATTAATCTAACCTAAGTAGACCTCTTTTGAATATTTTCATTTCTAGACATAATTTAATGTCTGCTCCTCGTGATTTATTTTTGCTTATATATAAATACCAATGTATGATTTTTTTATTTTATAGTACAATAAAGCTACGCAGTGAGTTTCTGATTTATATTATGTACTCTGCTCTTTACGATGCTTGCAACTAAAAACATTCAATTATTTGTTTTAGTTGATTTGGTATGATGACTGTGTTTTTGCGCGCGTGTGTGTGTAGGCTAAATGTGTGTTTGTGTTCTTGCGTGTGTCTGTGTTTGTGTGTGTTTATGTAAGTGTGTCTGTGTAGGTGCATGTCTGCGTCTGAGTGTGCATTTATGCATGCTTATGTGTGTAGGCCCTTGTGTGTCTGCGTGTGTATTTTCTACAACACCCTAAGCCACTTGTGTGTAGACTGTATGTAATAAAATAAAAACAAAAGGATTGCTAGAAAAATATGAATTTTTAGAGTTGAAACAGCTATTATATATTTCTCTCACAAATGTCAATGTGTGAAGATGTTTGCTTGATATAATATAGGTTATTATATAGGTTTATTATATAGGTTTATTATATAGGTTTATTTGCACAACAAACTACCCTATGAGGATGTAAACAACTTGAATTTGAGTAGTGTATAGATTAAATGGAATTAAACATGTTACTAATAAATCGGACATGCTTTACCAATAACATGATCAACAGTATCTATTTTATAGAACTTAAATTTGAAATTTCTGTCGCGAGTGTTCGCATTGCGAGGACTTAAGAAATCAGCAGTGGTAAACAGATGTGTTTTATTTTAACTCTGCGACATACATTGAACTATGCGGTACCGCGAACTATGTTAAACCTTGAACTATGCCTGAACTATGCGGTACCGCTATCTATGCTGTATCTTGAGCTATGCTGTACCGTGAATTATACACGATACAAGAATTAAGGTATAGAAGACTGTGAAGATGATCTTATACAAAGTCTTGTCAAAAACATATTAGGGGTCACCCGTAACCGATGTCGAGAGATGGTGTCATTAATTTTGTGACGACGTACGACGTGGGGATTGGAGTTTCTGACACCTTGACGATACACTTTCAGACAGCTTGACGATACACTTTCAGACAGCTTGACGATACACTTTTACATTTTGAAACGTAATGACGGTTCGTGGAGCCAGTAGAGTCGATTTCACTTGTTTCTGTGATCCACCGCCTTAACATTTCCCTAACGTGAATTAGTTACCCATCAGAGTTAAGTGGACTCGGGATGTTCTCTTTACCGCGGATTCGAACTCGAGACACTCAGTCTAGCACTCTACCGTTAGGCCAAGCCGCCCTCACCACATTTTACCTTTACACATTACCGACAACCCTTGCCTTAAGTGTTACCACTGCAGTTGTCATGCATGGTTGCACATAGCAGTTTGGCTTTCTCACGTCACTCAATGTTTTTTAAAAGTAGATAAAAGTTATAACAATTCCGTTATTCAAGGATACCCATTGTAAGCACACAAAGAAAAACAGTTTACCTGCGTATAAAAACAATTTGCATTAACACAACAACCACACTCTACCGGAAAACACCAAATATTTTAACTGAACACGTCAAACTCAACTTTATTGGAACACATCAACTACAGTTTACTTGTACACATCAACGCCAGTTTATTTAATTAAACACAACAACTACAGTTTACTTGTACACATCAACGCCAGTTTACTTGAACACATCAACTACAGTTTATTTGTATACAACAACTAGTTTACCAATACACGTCAACTAGCTTACATTTATACATCATCTACATTACATTTATTCATTTCAAAGCATTAAACTCGTACACATTGAGCACACTTTACCGATAAACATCACCGACGTTTACATGCCATATCAGAACATAAAATGTACACTTATCAGAATATTTTATTTTTACACATCATGTATATTATACTCGAACACATAAGCCAAATCTTCTGTACACATTAGCCTTTGTAGCTTTGTACACACCAACAAAATTCTGCTTGTACACATACCATATATCGTGTACACATCAACTTTATATCGTGTACACATCAACTTTATATCGTGTACACATCAACCATATTTCGTGTACACATCAACTTTGTATCGTGTACACATCAACTATATATCGTGTACACATCAACCATATATCGTGTACTCATCAACCATATATGGTGTACACATCAACCATATATCGTGTACACATCAACCATATATCGTGTACACATCAACCATATATCGTGTACACATCAACCATATATAATGTACACATCAACCATATCAAGTGTACACATCAACCATATATCATGTACACATCAACCATATATCGTGTACACATCAACCATATATCGTGTACACATCAACCATATCACGTACACATCAACCGTATATCGTGTACACATCAACTATATATCGTGTACACATCCCATATGTCGTGTACATATCAACCATATATCGTGTACACATCAACCATATATCGTGTACACATCAACCATATATCGTGTACACCAACCACAGTGTACACCTTCACCCTCCGTCTACCCTTGTGGCACCTGTGCTACCGTCATACATGAATGAACAACGCAGGTGGGTTTGTCTTATCGCTATGATCACGTTCTCGCAGTGAAGTCGGTTATGTCACAGCACCCTATGTCTGAACATGAAACCCCTTTAAACATTTACGGACATGCGCAGTTCAGCAAGAATTTGTCTTCAGTTTCTTTCAGTGTTGGTGAAACAAGGTAGGTTGTTTTTTGTTTTGTTTTTTTACTGCTGGCTTATTGGTACATTTTGTGACTTAATCGTTTCTATAGGGCCTGTGTGGCCTAGCAGTAGAGCGCTAGACTGCTAACCCGAATGTCTCGAGTTCGAATATAGTTTCAAGTCAGTAGAACATACCCTAAATTCACATATCTCTGATTAATTAATACATTTAATTTCAAAAGTGAGTTAGGTTAAAATTTGTCTGGTTTTTTTTTTTTTGCGTTATGTGTATCTCTAGATACGTTTTTTTCTTAATATTTAAAAGCAGAAATAAGATCTGCCACATTCCACTTCGCAACTGTAGAACATACCCTAAATTCACATATCTCTGATTAATTAATAAATTTAATTTCAAAAGTGAGTTAGGTTAAAATTTGTCTGTTTTTTGCGCTATGTGTTTTTACTAAATATTTAAAAGCAGAAATAAGTTCTGGAACATTCTACTTCGCTTGCCTATGTGGCCTTTCATATTCTGAAGGGAAATTTGTATGACAATCTTATTAGAACTGTAACCTAAACTCTACAGTTGTATGCGTTTTATACAGTATGGCCCTACAGAAATTACATTATTAATTCCTAAACCATATCCTAGAACATGGTCCTACTTAAACTTCTCCTATTTTATTCTGTATCAATTCCCTTAGACCATGGACCAAGGCGGAGACAAAACTCTATTGTTAAGTGCTGACGAAAATGACTTTGAACCAGAAATCTCAGACAGTCGATATCAAGTAAGTTATTTGTCTTATTTTTTGTTTCCTCGTGATGCAGCAATTAAAGCAGATTTGTTCTAGTAAAGGGGAAATTACACCAGCTACATTGACTTAAACGTGACATTGATACAATATAATGTACTTCATAATAATGATAATATACTTAGGCTAAAATAACAAGCCTTTTAATGTAAATTTGAAATATATAACAGGATACGTAATACATTCGTAGGCACATACGCCCTTGCACATACTTCACAACTCCACTGCCGAATAACATACTCTGCCAAATGTCATACATTGGCACTACTGTCATACTTTAGGACAATACCTATCATCCCGATTCCCGAAACACAACACACACAACCAAGAACTACAACTATAAGCAGATTTAGGATAATTGTTATTCACTAGCACAAAACAATTAACCAAAAACTACAACTATGAGCAGATTAAGGATAATTGTTATTCACTAGCACAAAACACACAACCAAGAACTACAACTACGAGCAGATTAAGGATAATTGTTATTCACTAGCAGAACACACATAAACAATCAAGAGAGGTAAGACGTAGACATTATGTACTAACAGATAGCATTGCACTAAATATGTTTACCTAAAGGTGACTTTACAACTGTTATATTTACCTAACGGTGAATTTACACTTGGTATATTTACCTAACGGTGATAAGACACAATGTATGTTTACCTAAAGTTGACATTAAACTATATTTGCCTAAAGGTGATGTGATTTAATGTACGTTTACCTAAAGGTGACTTTACACCTGGTATATTTGCCTAAAGGTGATATGATACAATGTACATTTACCTATAGGTAACTTTACTCCATGCATATTTGCCTAAATGTGACTTCCCACAAAGTATGCTTACCTAAAGGTGGTATACCTCGAGGTATGTTTACCTAAATGTGACTTTAAACGATGCCTGTTTACCTAAATGGGATATGACAACAGATTTGTTTCATACAAACTTTACCTGAAAAGGAATTAACACAATGTATACTAACCTCATTGCGACTTCACACAAGGTGTATTTACCTTATGGGGATATGATACCAGGTTAGCTTCAAGGTTACATTTTACAGTTTAATATTAAAAGAAGCATTCAATTTATTTTTACCACTACGGGAACCAAATGCCTCAACTATTTTTAAATGTCAAAATACATCGTGACCTTTCCGGTTGAATAACTGTTGCATTCGTTCCAAGTCAGCAAACTGCAATGCTATCTGCACCACTAAGAAATGGTGTCAAATCTGGGTCATCGTGACATTGTATCATATCTGCCCCATCGAGACATTGTATCATATCTGCCTTATGATGACAGTATCTGTCGCATCATGACATTGAATCATGTCAGCCCCTATTGTCACATAATATGAAATCTGCCCCATTATGAATATTGTACCATATCTGCAACATTATGATATTGTTACACGCATGCACAACTGAAACCATGAACGATATGCCTTTGTCTAGTGTACATTCAAGGATGTTTTTTTTTATCAGTTAACGTTGAATTCAGAAACTATTTTTATAAACAGGTTATGATATATTTAAAATATTATTACGTATTATGTTTCTGTTACTGAAAATTCAACAGTTTTAGAAGAGGTCAAGTGGTAGAGCACACTACTGCGAACACAATATCTTGAGTTCGAATCACTAACTCCAGTATGGGAGCTTAACCAACTTTGATAAATACTTGACACTTTTCGGGTAAAGGGCTAGTTATAGTCGTGTTGTATTAGAGGGAAAGGGGCCATTACTTCTGACAAAGTAGAAAAGATTGACAAATTTATTTTATGACTGATGAGTTTAATCCAGACGGCAATATTTATACGCCAAGACGGTATGCTCAGTCTTCCCTGGTAGTCAAAGTTTAAGTGTAGTAAGTAAGAAGTACAGAACTCTTTCGAACCTCACAGGTCCATTTGGGCAGGTGAAGTAGAGCTCAACTGTTTTAGTAATTTCAGTACGTAAAGGGATAGTGTGGCACAGCTGCCGTTATTTCCCTGAGTCAGGTACTCATTAGAGCTGGGTAGACTCAGGAGAACTTCTACTGGATTCGAACTCGAGACCTTCTTGTGGCCCCCCCCCCCACCCCCCGTGCTGGTGTGTTCCATGCGTGTGAGCTGATAATTGTCATCTCTGAGCCAGACGTTTGATTCTAACAGCTGTTCATATGTTTAGATTCAAATAATTTTAGTTGTGTGATTTAACTTTATTTAAATAGAATTATATGACTAATTTCTTTTGCTTTAATATCGACACAGTTTAATTTTTAAACTTATAGATGTCTAGATTCTGGGAAAAAAAATAGCGTAACGCTTTTAACTTTATATATAATAGAAAAGGATTTTATCGATAACATTACTTTTTTAAATCTACAGAAAGTATTTTTTTTCCTTCTCTCTGTTGTCTTGTTATTTTAAATGATCAATTCATAACTTATCTGCATGTTTATTTTATAAATCAGAGACGGGGATATCGTAAGCATCGTAAGACAGTAGTCAGCGACCATGACAGACATAGCGTGAAATCTGAGTCAACTCGTTATTCAGTCGAATTTGAGAGCCGAGAAGGAACGTTGGGCTCTCGTAGCTTCCCAGCAGTTCACTACACAAACTCTTCAGCAGATTATAGTCATTGGGCTACAACAGATTATCCTATTAGCACAACAAAAGGTTATCCAAAGAGGGCTACAACAGATTATCCTATAAGGGCAACAAAAGATTATCAAAAGAGAGCTACAACAGATTATCCTATAAGAGCAACAAACGTATATCCAAAGAGGAATACAACAGATTATCCGAAGAGCGCAACTACAGATAATCCAATAAGGGCAACAACAGATAATCCTGAGAGGGCTAGAACAGATAGCCCTAAGAGGGCAACAACAGATAGCACTAAGAGGGCAACAACAGATAGCCCTAATAGGACAACAACAGATAGCACTAATAGGGCAACAACAGATAGCACTAATAGGGCAACAACAGATAGCTCCCAGAGAGCTTCAACAGAGTACCCTAATATAGTATCAATAGATTACCCTACGAGGGCTACAACATTTTATCCAAAGAATGATTCAACCCCTGACCACAGGATCGCTACAACAGCGTATTCTCACGGTACTCATCATGCCTACACCCACAGCAACGTCAAAACCAAAACTCCAACCAAATCACTAACACCAACGCCATCACCATACCCTACCGGCATCAACAGCGAACAAACCCCATCGCTGTCCATGCTCAACACAAAATACCGGAACATTACCAACTCTCCGTACTGGAGAGACGCCCTTATGCCACAGGGGGGTGCCCAGCCCATGTACCCTGGATCTTATGCGCCGTGGCAACACCCGCCAGAGGTAGGTCACAGTCCGCAACAATAACTTGAAACTGTAATAAATTATGGTAATTTATTCACGTAATTATAAATAGGAGTCTACCTTGACTTTTTTATACACGTCATACTTAAAATAAACCGGGAGTGATCTCCCCTAAACTTTCTCGAATATTTTTATATAAAATAACAGGGGATGGGAACTCGGGCTATAGACATGATTTTTAATCCATATTTAATACTTAAAGTTTTAAAAATAGAATAAAATCTCTTAGACAAATTAATTGCACACCAAGTGAACGCGAAATAAAAAAGCGCATAATAGTGCGAAATATTATTAGTACTTTTAAAATTTACATTAGTTTTTTGAGAAATCGGAAGTAGCGTAAATTACTACTTCCGGTCAACGGAAATTACTCAAAATTTAACAGAAGGTAGAGAATTAGATCTTTTACTTACATGTGAAATTTCATTTATCTATCTGAAATAGTACTCAAGTTATAGGCTTTTGAAAAATTCAAAGTAGAAAAAGTACCACTTCCGGTTATCGGAAATCGCTCAAAAGTTGATATGGATCTACGATTTTGATAAAATACTTATATATAAAATTTCATCAACCTAGCAGTAACGGTACTCAAGTTATCGTGTTTACACACGGACACACAAACAGACACACACACACACACACAGAGACATACGGACAAGATTGCAAAATTATGTTTTTCCGTATCAGTGAGGTGTAAAACGTCGAGATTTGTAAAAATCTCGATTTTTTTTTTTGCACGATTACAATACTTTCTCTATACTACGTAGGCCTATATACGAGAAAGTAAAAAAATCAAATGTAATTGTTTTTTTAGTTATTTTAGTTCTTGCTGAAAATGGAAATTTAAGCTGTAATAATTAAAACGAGCCGACCCGCAGCGTATCATACGCCGCTATTTAGTTGTTATATTTTCTACTTTTCAGTAATTCATAATTTGTGAATTCGACAGTACCAATGCTGCCACTGAAAATATTTGCTTTAAAACACTAACCCCCCCCCCCCTTTCCCCTAACCCCGACCCTACACCCCCCCCCCTCCGTGAAAGCAGACTCCTCTTAGTTATTTCTTAGTTACCTCCTGTAAGTTTAAAATCGAACTAAATTTTCTGCCCCTAATGGAAACCCGGCTCTACGGCTCTACGATTTGTAAACATTTAGCTTTGTAAACATTTCGCGTGACAACAGTTCACCAGACAATGTGTGGGTGGGGTGGGGGTGGTAGTGATAGTGATAGAGAGAAAGAGAGGGGACTGCAAGGAGGCGCTTGCAGCTTGTTTTCTAACGGCTCCCAGAAGAGATATATATATATATATATATATATATATATATATATATATATATATATATATATATATATATATATATATATATATATATATATATGTGATAATTAAAAATAGGTTATTTCCCTTTAAGATATTCGTGTCATGTAAGTTACTTCTATCCCAACATGTAAAACCAGTCATTCCTTACATTTGTGAGTTCTTTTATTCATGTAGATAAGAATCTATATAACACTTTATGTCTATAAATTACACACAGACATCAGGCATCTGAACTTGTTATGTATAGATGAATATCTGCTATTTCTATATCTACACACCTATACCAGGGGTCGGCAACCTGCGGCTCGCGAGCCGCATGCGGCTATTTTGATGTCAAGATGCGGCTCTTCAGCTACATGCCCACATATTAAGAATTACTTTAATTTATTTTTAAAACTCATAAAAATATTAGTCTGCAATACTCGATAATTAAAGATATAGATCTAATAACAATGTAAAGATTCTAATTTCGAGCAGAGCTTGTTAAACTACTTTAATATGTTGTGTGCGAAACATGTGTATGTTTTTATATGAATAAATATTATTTCATATTTTAAGCTATTTATTTTAAATGTAATGTATATGTATATATATATATATATATATATATATATATATATATATATATATATATATATATATATATATATATATATATATATATATATATACCTAATCAAATATCATAATATTGAACTAAATATGTTTGTGGCTCTTTAAAAACTGTGAAATGTGGTAAATTGTAACTTTTGGCTCTTCCGTCCCAAAAGGTTGCCGACCCCTGACCTATACATTTCAATTAATCAACATACTATTTATTAATATACTTGTGCCTAGGTTTGGGTTATGCTAATGGTATGTGTCAGGGTATGGATATGGATATGGGTCAATTACTAAACATAATATTCATTAATTTACATGTGCTTAGGTATGGGTTATGCTAATGGTATGTGTAAGGGTATGGGTATGTATATGGGTGTAGGTACGGGTACGTAAATAGAAACTGGTATGGGCATAAGATGTCATACAATATTTTACATATAAATATTTTCTTTCCGTGACCAGGAATCCTTCCAACAAGTCCCCAACTACAAGAAGATGAGTATCTGTATTCTCTGTTTCTGTTGTCTTCCTTTGGGCATTGCTGGGCTTATTTATACAACAAAAGTAAGTCTAAAATGTATATGCTATGTTATGTGCTATGTTATGAGTTGTATGATGTATTATGTGATGTGCTATGAGATGTGCTATGTGATATATTATGTACTATGCTATGTGATGTGCTGTGTGATGTGCTTTGTGATATGTGATGTGCTATGTGATGTTCTATGTAATATATTATGTTATGTTCTATGCTATGTTATGTGCTTAAGATGTGATGTGCTAAGTGATGTATTATGTGATGTTTTGTGATTTGCTGTGTGATGTGCTATCCAATGTGCTATGTGTTGTGCTATGTTGAATGCTATGTGATGTGCGATGATATGTGATATGCTGTGTGATATGTTATGTGATATGCTATGTAATATGTTGTGTTTTATTCTATGCGATATGCTATGTGATTTGCTGTGTGATATATTTTATTCTATGTGATGTGCTATGTGATACGTTATGTTTTATTCTATGTGGTGTGCTATGTGATATGTTATGTTTTATTCTATATAATGGGTCGGCGTGGTCGAGTCGGTAAAGCTCATGGTTGCTAAACCGAAAAGTCTCGAGTTCGAACCCTCGGGCAGATGAGGCTCGTTAGCTGGGGACATTCACTCTTCTAGGAGAGACAACTCCAAAATTAAACAACTGCTGCCTTGTAGATTGTTCTTGGTTGGACAAAGGCTATGGAAGCAAATCCAAAAAGAAAAGCAGGCTGAAATCGGAGTCAATGGCCTCAATGGCGCATAACCAGTTGACACGTAACGCTTAATTGTGTTGGAGGCGTGGTCGAGTCGGCAAAAAGCTCATGGTTGATAAATTCGAACAAAGTCTCGAGTTCAAACCCACTGGCAGATAAATCTCGATCCCCTTCAACACTAATAATTAAGAACGAAGAAGAAGATTCTATATAATGTGCTACGTGTTATGTTATATTGTATATTATGTTCTATTGATGTGATATGTGAGATGCTATGTAATATGCTAAGCTTAACATATAGACCTTTCTGAAACCAAGAACACAACCTACACATTTATTTCTACATTTCACAGGCAGAAAAGTTGAGGGCAGAGAAAAAATATTCCCAAGCCAAGACCGTCGCCAACAAGGCAAAAATCGTCAACATCATTGGATTTGTGCTCGGCATCTTTTTGTGGATTTTAAACGGTCTTGTTATCTACTTCAAAGTGAAACACATTCAAGACCATGAAACACAATATAATTATAGTAGGCCGTAAGCTGACAGAAGTTTGAGATAGTTAACCAAACATTAAAGTTTCCTGAAACAGCAATACACATACATCTATATATATATAAATTATATATATATATATATATATATATATATATATATATATATATATATATATACATATATATATATATATTTATGTATATATATATATATATATATATATATATATATATATATATATATATATATATATATATATATATATATATATATATATATATATGTATGTATATATATATATATATTTATGTTTATATATATATATATAATCATACGTAAGGTGAAACATATATACCACTGTGTACAGTCCAGTCTCCTACTTCAAGATTTAGTTCCATACTGTGAATTTAAGACGTGAAAATATCAACTTTCTTGCATGTGTTTCCCCAGTGTATAATATTGTGTAATAAAATATTCAAGGCACATTGATATTTTTTTTTTTAAATCACTCTTTTGAGCAGGGGAATTAACTCTAAATGGCTGCATTTTATTGAAACTACAAACACTCTATTGAATGATAGTCTCGTGGTAGCGGTTGTCACCATGATGAGATTGACCCACAGCCAAACACACTCAACATTTTACGAACATAGCATTGTTTATGTATAAATTTTTATAAACAGGTGGTCCAATATTTAATTTTTCAAAGCAGCATTTAACAAATGTGTTCATATGAATGCAAATAAGATACACTTAATAGAGTTCCCAATTCTAATTGATTATGTTTCAGATCACTAGATCACCCAGTATATAAATATATATTCGCACACAACACATGATACAAAACTCATTACCCTATGCGACAAATACATGAACATGCCCGCTAGTAATATCTCTTCACATCTAAAACACGCAACATGACCAAAACACTTACACAGCATCCACAACTTACAGCATCCACAGCAACTGCCTATTAATACATTATGGTGCTCTAAATAACGTCGATTTTACAGACATTATTTACAACCTAAATGTTTCAAACTTGACATTACATAGTAAACATTTCAGTAGTATATAAGTAGTATATATATATATATATATATATATATATATATATATATATATATATATATAATATGTATAAGTATATACTTGTGCATGTATATGTATATATATATATGAGTGTGTATATATGTGTAGATTTGTATATATAGGCTTATATATATATATATATATATATATATATATATATATATATATATATATATATATATATATATATATATATATATATCAACATTGTGTACATAGTTTGAATAGACAAAAATCATTCGTTTGTCAAAATAAATTTTTAAATCCTGATAGTTCTTTTGTTAGATATTTTAATCGGTATGCCAGATTTATCAAGCCATTAGTCGTGAAATGTCGCGTGTTATGGAAGTATATTGTTGTTTTGTTTTTTTTTTGTTAGGGCTCTTATGTTTTGACTCTATGTTTCACCTTGCGTAATTCTTACTGGATGTTATTTATTTTGATTTAATGATATGTTTAATGTTTAGTTGTAGAGTTTATGTTTGTGGTTAAATCTAGTTTATAAGTGAGTTAATTTTGTGAATTAAGTGTTTTTTTTAAATAGAGGTGTATATTTTAATGTATTTTTGTTACATATTTAAATTTTATATTTTAAACATTCATGATTAAATGCAATGAAGAATCTTTTCGCTTAGATTAAGGTTTAGGATTTTGTTTTAAATTGCAAACCAAGATCAATCTATTTGGTATTATTTTTTTTAAGGTTTCGGTTCGACATATATTTAGTTGTGGCTAAACTTAACACTACCATTTTAGTGTTTGATTATAGCTGAGTTCATGTTTCTATTAAGACATGGTTGCGATTATACAGGATTCGATTCTGGAGTAGGTGTAGTCATATAAATGTACTAAGATTTAGAATTAACTTCCGGTATAGGATTTGGTTAACGAGATGGTAAAGTTCAAGATGTTGTTTAAAATGGTAGATATTGATAATTAACACGCAGAGTCGACGTTAGGGGGTGGCGAACAGGGCGGTCGCCCTAGGCCCCGCGCTTGAAGGGGCCCCGCGCTTCTGCACTGTCATTGTTATCTGAATTAGTTTGTAAACTAAAAAAATTGTTGCTGAATTCAATTGGGAAAAACTAAATGGTTATTGATTGTTATAACTGAGGCCACGCTTGATGTTAGTGAGTTATCACCCACCTGAACTGGGAAAGGCCGTAATTCGATACAAAAAGAGTGTCACACCTTCCCTTTGTTGTACTATACAGATAGAATGTCATAACGAGTGATAGACGATTGAGAATGACAATGTGTTTTGGGTGGGATTGGCAAAAAAATTAAATCAGTCAGCAATTGTTGTTGAGGCAGATGAAAACGTATTATGACTCAAAGACACAATTACCAAAAAAAATAAATAAATATTAAATTCACTTTATCGGATGTCCCCTCGAAGTGGATGCCCGGGGCCTGAGCCCCATCCGCCCCTTCCCCCCCCCCCCCCCTTTGCAAGTCAGATGGAATTTTATGTTTACTTTAGCATATCAGTTTATACCAATATCAGCGACGTCCTTTTCTAGCAATAGTGTTAATCGCTCGAAAAACTATTGAATTCACCATAGTGTTTTATAGAAATTTTATTAGAAAATATCGATGCATACCAATTTAAGAGTTAAAAATTTTAGCAATACAAAATTAAGTACAAAATATATCCACATGTAAAGTTCGCAACACATTTTTGAAAAAAATTAGATTGTTCTGAATTGATTGAGGAACACATTATAACAAATTATATTTACAGTAAAAATGAAACAAATCTTAACAACACAGTAGTCTGTTTCAATCTAAAGTATATTTGTAAACTGTCCTATAGCCAGACATGTGTTTCTTGTATTCTGCATCAAATTCTTCGTTTAGAGTAACAGAGAACCAATTCTTCCAGTCGCCCACATCACCTAGAAATATTAAAGTTACAAATGTTGGTGAACAACGATATTTAGAAATATTACAATAAAAAAAGTTTTGTTTAAACAACATCACCTAGAAATATCACAGTTACAAATGTTTGTGAACAGCATTATTTAGAAATATTACAATTTAAAATGTTGTTTATACAAAATCAGCTAGAAACGTAACAGTTAAAATTGTTGTCTACAGCATTATTTAGAAATATTTCAGTTAAAATGTTTTTTATATGACATCACCTAGAAATATCACAGTTACAAATATTTGTGAACAGCATTATTTAGAAATATTACAGTTAAAAAATTGTTGTTTATACAACATCACCTAGAAATATAGAAATTACAAATGTAGGTGAACAACATTATTTAGGAATATTACAGTTAAATCATGTTGTTTATACAACATCACACGGAAATATAAAAGTTACAAATGTTGGGGAACAGCATTATTTAAAAATATTGCAATTAAACAAATGGTGTTTATACAAAATCACCTAGAAATATAACCGTTAAAAATGTTGTAAACAACAACATTTAGAAATATTCCATTTACAAAATCTCTTAGAAATATTACATCCAACACAATTAAGTACACGTGATATGCGCCATATAGTCCGTTGACTCCGATTTCAGCCTGCTTTTCTTTTTGGATTTTCTTCCATAGCCTTTGTCCAACCAAGAACAAACTACAAGGCAGCAGTTGTTTGATTCTGGAGTTGTCACTCCAAGAAGCGTGGCTATCGAGCCTTATCTACCCGAAGGTTCGAACTCCAAAATTTTCGGCTTAACAACCACGAGCTTTACCGACTGGACCACGCCGACTTCTAACATGTTAATAAAAAAAAACAATGTTACTGGCGTACCTTTTCTGTAGAAGCCGGTCTTTTGGTCACGGAATAAAGAATTCTGTATTGGAGACGCGGTGGTTTCTTTGAAAGGTTTCATACTGTCGAAGCTACAGGCCTCTGCTATCTTCTCACACAGCTCCTCGCTACATCCAGTCCCCAGAAACTCATTCAGTTTTTTCAAGCCAGCTTTTTCATCCTGTTTTTAAAGAGTTAACACCGATTTAAAAGCATAATTTGACTTAATATAGAAGTTTCATTACTACAAGAAATTAGAAACACAACAGAAGATAAAAAAATAATAACTATTAAACTGATAAAATAATAGAAAATCATAAATATTTTCAAACAGGCATGTTAAAAGTCTATTTGATCTACACTTTGAGTGCTGCTGAAATCTGTGTACTTTACACAGTTGACACAATTTCATCTACGTCCAATATTTAAATAAAGATTGCACTAAGGGGTTAAGTGTAACAAGTTTTTTTCATAAAACCAACTTACTAATTTCATATCTTCATACACGGATCTATAGATAGGTACATCAGGATTAGCGTCAATACCGTCTTGCCAGTCCTTCAGGTAGGTAAACATGTCTCCGTACATATCTGAAGTAAAGGGAAATAACCTATAGCAAATATATGCGAACAACTCAGTGAAATAAAAATAGTGACATTATTGAAGGAACATATCCCCGATAGGTTTCTCAAGTCAGTGTAGCAAAACATGAGTACAGGTTACCAGTTTGTAGCCCAGCAGCAACAAACTGTCCATTTTGTAAGTCAAGACGGTGCTACTTGCAGTCTAATGTGTAAAGTAATACGGTTTAAGGCAGAGTTTCTTTCAGGCATCTGTTCATTGAGGAGGGGGTTGCACTGCTTCCCAGAAACCATCCATCTACCCCCTCCCTCCTAACGAAGCACATTTTAAAAAATATATATACACCTTAACTAGTATCCACCCTCCTTTCCGGAAACAATAGTTGCGCTCTCCGGAAGTTTGAATTGCTATTCCCCCCCCCCCCCCTTGGAGAAAGAAATCTGAAAGAAACCCTGGTTCTACAAATATGATTTTATTAAATCGCTGCTTCAGATCTATAGTTGGAGGGAGGGTAAGTGTTGGACGGAAAAGGCAGGGTTAGTGTAGTGATAATAGCTAAATACACTGTGAATATACTTTATGTAAGCATATGAGAATTACATTATATCTAACCATATGTGA